TATTTTCATTGCTATGCTTGTCTCTTCTTTTCCTTTCAGAGTCCCTTACTTTGTTTTCACAGGATTGCACTCAGTGGCAAGTGTTGTCCAGGCAGGTGTGCTTTTATCAAACTAATTCCACACTAGCAACCACTAATTTAATGTACTTTATATAGGTTGCAACAGGCTCTGTAGAAATGAGGTGTTCTATAAGACCATCTAGAAGTCTTCCAGGTGGTATTACTGTACAATGTTGGACCACCACACATGGACTATCATGAATAAAGCATAAAAGGATCCTACTTGTCCCTGCCGATCATTGGATTGAATAAATCACGGTCTGTTTACTTTTAAAAATTTAGGGAACTTGTTTCACCTATTGCACTGTTCTTCAGGGCTCCTCAATGTGCATTACCCCCCTCTTCAGATTCTACTGGTGGAGCTAAGGATTTCTTGCCACACCCGGTTTCCAGTCACTGGAGTGTTAGAGTGAATTTCTTCCACTCTTGGAGAAGAGAGCGGAGTTGGGGGCCCTCCTACCCTGGTCCTTAGATGTTTTTTCCCAGATGTTGGTAGGAGAGGCACCAGTCTACGTGGGAGCCTACTTGTAATACTTTGTCAGATTTTATTCTTGGCTATCCACTTGGGTTGAGCATGGCTCTTCTTTTTGATTGGTATTAGTTCAGTACAATGTTCGTGGAAGAGGGTCCATTGTCTCCTCATAATTCCGAACAGAGTGGTCCCATCCTGGGTCCTTGATTGTGCACAATTTGTTCCACATCCTCCCCATAGTTCTGGAGATAAGAATTTACCTTGCTCATTTGGTTTGGGGGATGAAGATGGGTGTTCATAATTCCACACTGGATGAGTTTTGTTTTCTCGGGTGTATTATGACATACAGGATCCTGTCATTCCAAGCTTGAGGTGTTACCTTTTAGACTTCTTCAAGTTGAGGAGAAAGTTTGTCCACTTAGGAGTTGTTTACCTTCTCATCATGATTCCAGTGGCTCGGAAAGCATTACTTTATGGCTACAGTTTGGGATCCACTCATAAGTATATATATATATATATAGTAAAGAAAATAGCTTCAAAACTATCATTATGATAATTCACTAGTTGTAAATAGGTGATTAAAATTAGCAATATAAAAAATAGTTAATTTAATATAAATTAAGCCTTAAAATTATTTTTATTATAAACATCCATTGCAATTTTCTAGTCGTAACAGAAATTGTCTGTGGTGATAGCACCGAAAAGCATTGGGGATATCCCATCTACCCAAAATCCAAATAGCAGATGAAAAACTAGTTAGCAGTCATGAAGAATCAAATATAGGTGTGGAGTTGAGTGCTAAAACCCACAACGTCTCAACTCCTACTGTCTTTCACTGGTGTCATGAACTTGGTTGAATTGACCGAGCTCTTAGCAAGAGAGTTAAGAG